AGATTATGTGAAATGCATGTAAAACTGCAGAACTGAAATGTGCAGATGTGTCTTGCCAAAATGTCCCCTTTAGGCAAGGAAGCGGCGCATTACACCATGAAATCCGGTAATAATGGAGTTAAGCGCCCAATGATTTATATCGTATAATAAATAATAATTTCATTATTTGTATTTTGGTGCTGCTCCAAGTCTGGCACTGCCATTAATCGGAGCGAGAAATGACTCCTACATAACCCAGACTAAAGTACAGCTTATATAATTATATGTACAAAACGAACCCTTATCAGTGTCACTTACAAACTGCAGAAAGAAACAGAAATCGATTGTACATATGTATTCTATGCGGTTGCAAAGACTTGCAAACCGCATTTGCCTTACCGATAGCAAACTGGCTAATCTCTTCAAGAAGAGTGAACAGCTTGACGTCATGCACCAAGGTCGCCACGTTGTCTACTGCGAAAGTGATCAGTGCAGCAGATATGTATGTCAGCAGTTCACGGTACCGCTCAGCCTGATCCTTTTTACTAAACAAGTACGTTGGTAGTTGAGTCATGCAAAAGAGTGAAAAAAATGAATACCTGTGCGGGTTCCCGTCCCCTTTCGACAGCAGAGCGATCGTATCGGAAATGAAATAGCACTTATTTCGCGGACTTAATAGATATAGCAGAACCTTGATGCCATACCTGTCTTCGGCAATTTCCTTTATATTGGTTTTCATTTCCTGATGGACAAAACAGGATAAAAGAATTTAAATGGCAATTAAAACAAGACAGAAAATAACACCTTGAAAATTACGTGATTCACCAACGCCGTGTCATCCACCGAATCGAACACCGCAAACATAATCATATGACCATATTCTTCCAAACATATTTTCTTCACCAGAGTCTTCATTGATCGTATAACGGCCTTGCGCTGTTTCGGCGTTGCAAACCAGATGCAGTTCATTGCTGTGATGACGCCGTCCCTTGTATGGATAATCTCCATTACGCGATCCTGCAGAGCCTCGACAATCTCCTAAATAGAGTAAACAGCGTTGAAGCCACACCAGGAAGATCAGCAAAAATGTGGAACATAATGCTTTAATAGATTCACTATTGCCTCAAAGTAAATCAGAAAGAATGGTGTTGCTGTCAGTCAAAACACTGCTAGCATCGCGATCTAGGAGCATGAATGACAACGACTGAAATATGTAATTTGAATCAATGACAACACCTTAATTTTTAATAAGATGATGTTTTGATTTATTACGACTCCTTCACGACCAGATTTCACGGTGTATTACAACGCCCCTTGTTCACAGTTGTACAATTAAGCGTTTAAGGTCATTCAAGCAGGCAACAGCTCGAAAGTATCTGAGCACCCGTTGTGTCAGATCTATCTTTCAACAAGGCGTCTGCAACATGGTGTTTTGCCCTGCACTATTGCAGTGAAATACAACCTTCTAAAACCAAATTCGTGTTACAACTCCAGCGATGAACAATATGTGAAGATGTGAGCATGCTTTCTTGTTGGCCAAAGTTCTGTCCTGCCTTGATCGTATTAGAGCCGTGGACGTTCAACGTCAAACAAAACTTAACGAAATTAAATTTACATAAAAAATCACGGTATTATTTTTAATGTGATATCTTCAGCGGTGGTATCGAAAGGTCCCCCTGAACATCGGGGTTATATTGTCATCAAAAGTTAAATTTAATTCTTTTTCACTATTCCACGGAACCGTCGCTGGTTTAAATGGTCCCCCTAGGCTACTAGAAGCAAGGCGGCAGTACACTACTGCGGTATTCTGTAGTGCAAAATTTTCATCTGTCATACATCACCGCAGAAATAAATTTTTCTTTCTTTATACTGTACGTTTTCGCTATTTCAATGCGGTATCGATATTTTAAATATTTTGTATTGATCGCCGTATCGAAAACTCCACAATTTTATGTTTTCGCTAAATTTAATTCAGTGCGGTACATAAACACGCCTGACGCTGTGGCGCCTTAGAATCCAGTTCGTGAAGCCAGAGATAGTGAAGGAAGATCGGGACCAATCTGCTGACCACACTATCCAAAAGGAATAACGACTGTGAAAAACTGGATGGATTCCAGTTAAACTAGACTAATCTCTGTTGTCCTAAGTATTTATACCACACAGAGACTAAAGTAACCGTTAGATGAAGTACTGCGGAGTGTAGTTTTCTAAATCGCCAAGATACGTAATCCTGGAATGGCAGAGCGTTAAACCCAAGGTATTTAAGGCTGAAAGACCTGAAAGGCAACTCAACATTCACTGAAACTCAACTAATGGCATGCTCGACTTCCTGAATTTATGACAATCCTCAGTTCTCCATTCAAGTCTTTTGAAAGTTTTGTCCTCGTGAAGTCATAAAAGACTGAGTCAAATGCGAGACTGTGTAAATTTGAATTCTAAACAAGGTTAACACGCCAAATAACTGCTATGCCCAATACTGAGATTATCATGGTCAAATGTGTTCCTACGCCATGTAACAAGTGGTTTTGTGATAAGCGCCTTGGGACTTTCTACTGAGAAGAAAAGGCACATTCAGGGCGGCTTATACCAGACGATGAGAATATGTAAAATATGTAAAAGCAAAATTAAATCACGTTACCTTTCGATCATTTGCATTACACACATCTAACAGTTCTCGAAATAGCCGGTGAACAATGCTGTTGATCAGTACAGGCCTAAAAAAGCATTGAATTACAACAGAGAACTGAAACAACCGAGAACAGTGAGTGAAAATACCGTTAGTAGGATATTTCACTCGCTTCGATGTTAATCTTTCATGTACAACAACGTAAAATATCTCTCATTGAAACTCCGCATGTCAGATTAGTCCTTTGGAGCCACTCTTTGAAAAACAAACGAGATTTAAATGCTGTACAGATCACATAAACGCAAATCAACGTTTGGCATGAATTCTATAGAAGGAACACCAATAAATTACAGAAATGTAAGGGAGAGGGTAACAAACGGTTTTTTTATTTGGCAGATGTGTCTGATTCAGATGACCAGGACTGATTCGGAGTAACCGAACCCAGCACAAGAATGGAAAGCATCAAAATCGGTTTCTCCTCTAGCTGGGCGGTAAGACACCTTTTTAGAGGTAACATCTTTGTATGCTGACGTAACCCCACATAATACCTCAGTACCGGACACAAAATTAAAATGATGGTTGATTCACTGCAACCGTCATACATTTTGTTCCGTCATTAACACAAGCCTTGGATTTATTTCATATTACGTCGGTCCGCTCTCCAAGTTAGAGAGGTCGGTTCTAGTCGCCTTGAGGCAAAAATAATTTTCACTAATCGCTGCTTCCTCGCACAAAGAATTCAAGAGCATTACTCAAGCCAGTTGAAAAAACGCGCTTTAATGCGTTTT